CACCTTTGAGAGAACAGTTGGGCCTCTGTACTTCTGGGTTCTGCATGCATGGATTCAATGAACTGTGTATCAAAAATATTTGAAAAAACTTGTATTTCTACCAAGCACATACTTTTTTTCTTGTCACTAGTCTATGACTAATACAGTATTACATCTACTCTTACATGGCATTGGCACTGTATTAGGTGCTATAGGTAATTCAGATATTTTAAGTACATGGGAGAATGTATGGATGTAGGTTATTATGTCATTTTATATACGGAATTGGACATACTCTGTTGTTCAATCTGTGGAGGATCCTGTGGCCAATCCCTTACCAATACGGAGGGATAACATATATTTGGTCTTCATTAAGTATATCAAGATTTTTTGAAAATGTAGACTTCTACACATAATTCCCTCTTTCCTGGAGTTCTGTTCCAAATAGAAACCTACTAAAGAAAAACAGAGGTCACCAAGTGAACTTTCCCCAAACCTCCCCTCCATCAGAAATGCCTCCATAGTCACACAGGTCTTTTTTCCCTATTTTTCTCCTCCTTGCCTTTGCATCCCAAAGTTTACCTATCCCAGTTCTGGACTGCAGATATTTTTGCCTTTCTGGGAGCTTGTTTTATTAATTCCTCCTTTTCCCCTAAGAACAAAACTTTGCTTTTTCCATAGGCTGTTACTCTTTAAAGTACATTCATCTTTTTTTCTTCCATCTTAAAATAAGAAAATTTCCTTAGTCATACAACCCTTTTGCCTTCTCCCCTCCCATCTCACCCCCATCTTTTTGAGGTAAGGCCTTGCTATATAATCTAGGTTAGACTTCAACTCCTAAGCCTCTTGTCTTAGTCTTGGAGTGGGGCCATTAAGGGCATGCAGTACTACAGCCCTCTATATACCACATTTCTCTTCTCAGACAAATGTGTGAGCAGAGAAGCCCCTCAGTTCCTCCCTCATTTTCTGTTATGGTTTGAACATGACTTTGTTTTATTTTTTTGACAGGGTCTCCCTAGCCCCAGTCTGCCTAGAACTCACTACGTAGACCAGGCTGGCCTTGATCTCAGAGAGATCTGCCTGCCTCTGCCTCCGGAGGGCTGGGTATGGTTTGAACATAGAATGTTCCCTGTAAGCTCATGTGTTTGAACACTTGGTCTCCAGCTGACGGTGCTGTTTTGGGAAGTTGTGTATGGGACCTAGCTAACAGAAGTGGGCTGCTAAGGGCAGGCCTTGAAAGTGATATCCTATCTGGTTCCTGCCTAAACTCTCTGCCTCCTGATCCACTGAGATGTGAGAAATGGCAGCCATAGGCTCCTGCCACCATGGACTAAGCTGCTCCTGTCATATACTTCCCTACCATGATGGGCTGTACTCTTTGCGAGTCAAAATAAACCTCTCTTAAGTTGCTTCTGTTGGGTATTTTTGTCACAGTGGTAAGAAGAGCAACCAATCCACTTTCTCTTCTCCCATTTACCTCTTTCCCTACTGTGTGCCATCCAGCTTGTTCACACACCTCCCCAGTTACCCAGCTGCCAAAGCCAATGACAAAAGAGAAGCTATTTTCCAAAGAGAAATCCTATTAGAGAAAAATAGTGGTTATTAAGTGAACTTGTTGTCAAAGCCAATGCACATGCAGCTTTCCTGTGCTCCTAGCAGCACTGAGTCTATTCATTAGGGAATCATATAAGTACCTGTTCACCAACACAGTGCAAGTGTCACCATTATGGAAATAATAGGCAGCATCTCACTGAATGCCACTTCAGTCTCCCTGTTCTCCAATTCTTCCTTCCTTCCTACCTTTTTAATATACATCTTCTTTTTTAATATTTTTTGTTATTTTTATTTTATGTGTATGAGTGTATTGCCTGCATGTATGTGAGTGCACCCGTGTCATGCAATGCCACGGAGGTCAGAAGAGGGCTTTGGATTCCCCTGGAACTGGAGTTAAGGACGGTTCTTAGCTGCCATGTGGGCTCTGGGAATTGAACTTGGGTTCTCTGTAAGAGCAGCCAGTGCTCTTAACTGCTGAGCCATCTCTCCAGCCCCAATATACATCTTCTTAAAGTAACCACACCTGTAGGCATGACTTCAATTACTTTCTGTACTCTCTGACAGCAAGACAACGTTTACTGTGTTTTTAGTTGAACAGCTTTATTTCACACTCATTTGCTAAAACCAGATTCCAAGTTGTTCTGAGAATGTAATCAGTAAAACAAATGTAGTATTTTTTTTAATTTTTTAAAAAATTTTATTTATTATTTTATGTGTACGAGTGTATGGCCTGCATGTATGTGAATGCACCCATGTCGTGCAGTGTCGCAGAGGTCAGAAGAACGCTTCAGATTCCCCTGGAAGTGGAGTTAAGGATGGTTCATAGCCATCATGTGGGTGCTGGGAATTGAACCCGGGTCCCCTGCAAGAGTAGTCAGTGCTCTTAAGTGCCAAGGCATCTCTCCAGCCCCACAAATGTATTTTTAGCATATAAGCTATAGGAAATTCCCCCAAGTTACCCTTTTTTTGGTTTAATTTAGTATATATGCTATTTTTGAAAGCATAAAGTGGGATGTCATATGATGGGCTATGCCTATAGAGATTCACATCCAATTTTCAGAGAGATCCATTTCTATGTACTGACTGCTTTTGCAAAGGACCTTGGTTCGAATCCCAGCATCCACATGGCAGCTAACCACCATCCATAAGTCCAGTTCCAGGGGATCTGACCTCCTTTCTGACCTCCAAAGGCACTGCATGACATGAGTACACTTACACATATGCAGGTAATACACTCATACACATAAGATAAAAACAGCAAATAAAATATTTTTTAAAAATAATGTCAAAAACTATCATCTTCTTCAAACGTATTCCTCTTCCTTTATCTGTCTAGGAGGAAGGCATTGCTATCTACCTAGTCACCTAAGTCAGAATCTGAGCAGTTAGTCTGCCTTTTTTTTTTTTTAAATGTGTATGAGCAGTTTGCTTACTTGTATGCAAGTGCACCCATGTTATGCAATGCCCACAGAGGTCAGAGGGCATTGGATCCCTTGGAACTGGAGTTATGGATGATTGTTAGCCACCATGTGGGTGCTGAGACTCAAACCCAGGTCTTCTGCAAGAGCAGTCGGTGCTCTTGACTGCTGAGCCAACTCTCCAACCCCTCATTTTGCCTTTTCTCTTCTCCCTCCACATCCAAATACTTCCTATTCTACCTCAAAATAGGCAAAGTTCTTTCTCACCAGTTATTAACACCGTCCTTCACTGGAACCCTCTTCTCTCCTAGGTGCATATGCTTGTAAACTGGTCCTCTTTCTTCCCTTTCTTCCTATGTCCACAGTAACCTAGTCACAAATACCTCTGACAATGGCTTCTGAACTTCAAATGAGAGTTCAACAACTCTAACATTTCCAGGATCAGATTCAAACTCTTTACACCACTGCCTTCCAAAGTCAAATAGATCTAGGTTTGTACCCCAAGTTCAGCAGTGTGACCTCAGACAGCTAGACTCTCCAAATCTCATTTGCCTGAGTGCACTGAGGGTTGGTACTGTTCCACACATACTCCTAGCACATAGAAAGAACTTATTAAGGTTGATTGGAGGAAAAGCATTTTAAAATCCACATAAAGATTGTTCTTTCTTTTTTTTTTGCATTATTCATTCATTGTATAAAGTTCTGTGTTATCAATTTACAAAATAACCCTGGAACTTGCATTATTCACTAAGGCTTCTGATAGAATGAATACATTTAAAACAAACAAACAGAACACCAAGTCCTAACAATCTCTGTCACTTTCCCCAAGTTTTGACAGATAATCACAATAAGGTGCTTCTGGGGATCTATCTGGATTACCTGGAATCAAGACTGCTCTGGTCCCAGCCTGAGCAGTTATGTACCCTTGGGAAAGTTACTTAAATTTTGCATCTCAATCCCCCCCCCCCAGTAAAATGTGAGATAATAACATGGGATTGCTTTTGAGAATTAAGAAGTGACTCTGATGGAAATGTGACCAGCACACAGTGCTACCTAAATTTTGTGTTCTTGTGTTCTCTATCATCTCCACCAATTAGGGCTGTGGGACCCCCACTGTGCGGTTCTCAATCTTTTTTTCTTTTAGGGAAAAACTGTACTTTTTCCACATCGCGAGAAAAGGTAAATCTGGCAGCTCCTGTCGTGGGAATGGAGAGATGGCAGCTAAATGGAAGTTGCTGACTCGCAACTTTTCAGAGCTGGGAAGGACGAATTTGGTCCTGGTTTTACGCACGAGGAACTAGGCGACGTGTCCTTGGGTCCATGCAAGACTCAAGTCACAACTCTTTACTGGGAGGGGGACAAAAGCCCCGGGGTTGCTATGGTCAAACTGCAAGCGAAAACGTAACAACTGGGGGAGACAAGAGAGGAGCATTCCCTCATAAAAACTGCCAAGACCGGTGCAACTTACTTCGGCGGGCGAGCGCGTGAAAGACGTCAGACACGGAGAAGCCGAGCGGCTGACAGAACCAACTCTCTACCAACCGGGCTTTCAGCGCCCGCCGCCCAGCGCAGCCTCGACCAGCGGCCGACCGCGGCTCGGCCTGTAGGAGCCGAGCTCCGCACTGCCCGCGATGAATGAAAACCCGAATCCGCGCCGTGGCGCGCGAGGAACAGGACCGGGCATTGTGTGTCACGTGCCTGGACCGCTGGCGGGCGCGTGGAGGGAAATCCGGGTCTGATTGGTCGCCCGTCACCAGGTGACCGCAGGACGCGTTCCGGTTGGCCGGAGCCGGCTAGCGGCTTTCAGTCGGGAGGTGGCGACGGAAAGAGGAGGAGCTCCGGCCGCGCTCTCGGCCAGCAGTGGCTGCGTCTCCCAGCGCTTGTCGGATCCCCACCCCTTTTAAATAAGCCGGGCTGGTCGCCGCCCTCGCAGACTAGTCTGCGGTGGGGAGGTGGCGGCGGGAGCCGGCGGGGGTGCGGCCGAGGCCGAAGCCCTG